ATACATTGTTTTAGCTTTAGACTTGGCTCGACGAGATTTTCCCATCCTAGTGCTTTTATTGCTTCTGGTCTAGAAATATCGTTACTAAAGTTCATGATTACCCTTGCAGCTCTATTCTGAAGTTTTTGCAACCTGTTTGAAAGACCGATACCCATGGTGTCCCACACCTCGCTACAATAGTCAAAATGAGGATTGATAAGATTAAGGCATTATAAATTGAAATTAAAGTGTCTCGGTTTACAAATTTAAATCACGAATTTTCCTAATGGCTCCTATTCCCGAAGTAACTTTGTTGGCCACCTTGTCCATATGTTCATTCCAAGATAATTTATCATCAAGCTCTACCCCAAGTACGGTAGCTTTATAGACTTGTTTAATTTTTGCTTGATTTATTTTGAGATCTGGCTGTGTAATAATATTATTTAGTTTGCGAGCTGAGCCAATAAGTATAAATTCTGTTTTTGTGACATTAAGGCTCAGTTTATTGGCTAGTACTAGCCATTCATTTATACATATAAGATCACTGTTCATTCTTGACTCAATTTCCTGGATATGCTCACCGGCTATTGTAAGGTTTGTATCGCCGGCAAACAGCAGAGGAGTAGCATGGTTTAAACATTTGGGGAGATCATTTATATATATAAGGAGAAAGAGGGGCCCCAAAATTGACCCTTGGGGAATACCACATGTAACGCGCCTTGCAGTTGACATCATGCACGTCACCCAACTGACACACTTTTGGTTACGGTCAGATAAGTATGAACGTATCATAGCCAAGGCACTTCCCGTTACACCGTAAAGTTCTAACTTTCTCAATAGAATACCGTGATCAATAGTATCGAATGCCTTCTTAAGATCTATCAAAACAACCAAGTTGAACATTTTGCGGTCCATATTGACATACCAACTGTTCGTACTATCTAGTAATGTCGAGGCAGTAGAGTGATATTTTTGAAAACCAAACTGGTGTTCAGAGAGTAGAGAATTATCAGTAAGATATTGGTATATCTGATCATACATTATTGGGTACCCGTACCCAATTTTATAATTGTGCAGGGGGCGGTGGTATGTAAACGTAGTTAATTTTAACTATAGTTAGTGACAGAATTAACCAATCAGAGTTATGTATATTTCTGAGTTAACTACGAATTAATTACGCAAAATGTAGTGAACAGTTTTATACAACCGGCGCCTGGCTACCAAAACAAAGGCCGAGCACAGACGTGCCTATACACTTGGAACAAATTCAACTATAATCATAATTATTGTTTTATACGGATAGTTTTAAATACTACAATTTTTCATGTATATTAATTCAGAATATAAATTATAAGAATTGTGGAGAATGTAATTTCTTCTGTCTGCAAATTGTAACACATAAAATAGTTTGGATGTTACGTTTTCCAAAATAGCTAAGAGTGATACACTGCATGCGCGTGCCTTAGGCTTAATAATGCTCGGCTGCATAACGCGTACTAAATGATAATCCGTAAAGTAGCGTGAATTACGATAATTGTAGCTACATGCATGATTGATCTTAAAGATTAAAGTGCCTATGTCATGTTTGAAGAAATAGACTTTGTAGATATTTTAGACGATTTTAAGAACTTTTGCGATATATTTGATGAATCGAAAATTTCATCTTCATTGACTTTAAGGGCCTTAAAGTTGGTGATTTAGACTAAAACCGTGCAGCTTGGGCCTTTCGGGCGTGAACTTCCATTGAGCGTTAACTCGCTGGGGCTGTACATGAATTAACACCTATTAGCGAGAACACTGTCAATGACGTCAATATTTATGTTAATATATATAATGCTATATCAATGCTGTCTTGCGAGTTGCAGCTCGTTTAATCAAAGTCTTTAGAAGCAGCTAGTTTTAAAAATATTTTAACATACGAATCACAACAAGAGTATCAACAATAATAGTAATATTAGCGACATTTTCCCCGCAACAAAGCGAAAATACAGGCCCAATAGCACATGTTTAACAAAATAGAACATTTTTTGGTAACATGGATATTTGTTTTTTAAATATGCTATTTGTCTTTGTTGTGTCCATGTAAATGTTTGACTTCATGTGAAGAGTAACAAAACATCACTTAATACTTTGAACTTTGAACGCGCTCGAGAAGACGTGAAATCAGAAACCACGTGAAGATCCGGTAAAAGCACTAAATAACAAAAACATTTAGCTCATTGTAAAATGAGAATAAAAACATATGCCTATACTTACAGCAACCTAATTTTAAATAAGTCAAACATTTCACGAATCTGAGCGATGAAATTAGCACTGGAAAGTGTTGCTAAGAAAGAAATGGGCCTAAGACAAGCAGCAAAAGCTTTTAATGTACCAAACGACTCTTTGCATAGAAGACTGAAAAAGATGAAAGAATGTGACCCCGGTGGTGACAATATTCAAAGCATGTCCAATAATGTGTTGGGACGGTTTAGAAATGTGCTATCTGAGAGCCAGGAGAAAGAACTTAAATTAGGGTACATCATTAATATGGATACTGCATTTTATGGCCTTACCATTAGAGAGATCCAGGTATTAGTTTACGAGTACCGCGAACGAAACAATGTAGCTCATCCTTTCTCAAAGGAAAAAAAGCTTGCTGGCAAAGATAAGGGAGTAACCACAACAATACTCTGTGCTGTGAATGCAACTGGCCATTTTGTGCCCCCAATGATGGATGATCTTTAAACGAAAGAACAAGAAGGCTTCTCTTACTGATCATGCTCCAGCAGGAACATTATACAAGGCTGTTTAGAAAATGTACTCCGAAAACAAACATCTTGTAAACCCAAGATATGAGTTGTTAAAAACAAGACACAATAATCAAGGTTATATTTCGACTCTATTTCAAAGTCATTGTCAAACCTGTCAAATCAGGGATCTGGAATCAATCTCAAATATGTGTTGGCGCAAATATGCATGTCTGCACATAAATATACCTTCATTTGAATATTTAACTAAAATTATTAGCTATATATACTTATACCTAAATCACATCATTTTATACTTTACTACTTTTTTATTACTCTATATGGAGATGGTAAGTATAAGCATAACTGCATAAGCATCATAGTTATATAGGGTGTATATCGTATAGTGTGTTAGTTCTTGATAGTTGTGAATACACTTCATATCCTATTTTCGTTATTAATCAGGGAAGACAGTATATAATTCCAGAGGCTCTTTCGCCTAGCAAGACAATTATATTTGTTCAAAGTTAAACTGGCTTATGAAGGGATCTCGTATATACGTACACGGAACTTGTTCTACAGTAATTAAATCCTACCCAGCCGGCCTTTCGCCTCGCACTGGCGGAATTCTGTAAAGGTCCACACACATTGGACGCAAATTTTCAATATTTTTAAACAATCAAATAAATTCAAAGGAATTTTGAGAGTTATGGGCCCAGACATACCATGATGTGCTATCAGACAATTAAGTATTTATTAAGATTGGTATCTTAATATATTTAAAACTGCAAAATTCGTAACTCGTGGTTTCAATAACATGTTTAATTTTTCAAAAAATATCAAGTATGACACCCCAGGCGCTTTAGTAGTAAAATATAAAACGTTGCATTCAGCTATTGTATAAAGATCAACTGAAAAAAAGCTAGTGCCTCGATTTTTCTTAGCTGAACTCTATATAATAGCTGAATGGAACGTTATGTTTTTCCACTAAAGCGTCTGGGTACGAGGCTGCTTTTGATACGACGTACAACGGACGAAACATATTGCATTGCGCTTGAGCTCCATGAGCCATCAAACAATATGGACTCACTCAAGACATACAAGACCAACGGTATCACTTAATTTTGAGACTAGTGGGGTTACCTTTAATACCTTACTGTTTTTACCGTATAAAATTACCCAAAACGTTTTACCACATTTTGCATGCGATAAGGAAATGTGAAAATCATCCTAGAAATGACATTTCCACACGCGCAGCTGGTATTAATAATTAGGGAGGCACATATTCATATATTTATTTTGCTACTAGTAAGACAATCGGTGTCGGGTCAAAACACTGCTGTCCCGAGGTGTCAGTAAATAAGTGATTTGTTATTATATCTAGTGTAAATTGAAAAAAAAGTGCAATTGAAAAAAAAAACATGTACGTCTTAGGGAGGGGGATCGCCACTTTCCTGTGATTTCTAGGGTCGCGTTGCTTGCAGGAAACTGACATAGCAACGGATATCTAATTTAACTGATAATTTGCCCCAGAGGAAATTGTGAAATTCGCGTAATCAGGGAAATAGGAAAGCAGGAAGGATGAATTTTGACACTATAGGTATATAAAAATCGATAATGAGAAGGCAATGAAGCTTAATGAGGTTTATTAGCTCATTATTTATTGTTTTATCGACGTATAACCTTGATCTATTTTTTTGCTTCAAAAAAAATTTATATATGCCATCAACATGCGTCTATTCTGCAGTAATATATTTCACTAATTATGGCCCGTTTGCATTGGCGATTTTCGACTTTCTTCTTTTGATGTGAACGAGTAAATAGTTACGAATGCTCTGATGTATAAGAACTCTTATTTAAACACCAGTCAGTCGTTCACATCTATCAAAAGAAGGAAATCGCACATAAAATCGCAGCGAAAATTAGAAGTGTAAACGGGCCTTTATAAAGTGCGTAGTCAACCTCGTACCCAGGGTCTTTTACCTACGCTCCACGGCCCACGCTGCGGCAAAGACCCTGGCAGAAGCTGGTCACGTGACCCCCAGATTTTGGGGGTTTCTTGACTATTTTAATATGGGAGGGGTAGTTGGGAAGTGTATTTTGTATTGCTTTAGTTTTTGTATAGTTAACTGTTTTTAATACACGAAACTTTATATTAATATTTGCAATATTGTGAGACAAAATGTGTGAAAAACCTTGCATCATGTCTCTCTACAATCGTGGTATTAGATTACAATTCAAAGCAAGAAGTTGGATCAAATGTCAAAATCCTATTCATTTATACTTGCGTCGATGGCTAGTAAAGACACGCCTAAAAAGTTCTATAAGAAACGTTCGGAATCGACGGCAAATACTTCGCGTTGCAGGCTTTGCAACAGTGTTACTGATCCAAATCATAGTAAACGTCTATTTCGGGCCAACAATAAAGCAATTCTTCGAAACGTTGAGTCATTTTTTGGCAGCGAATTAATTGAGCACGTCGAGCTTCCTCGCTTGATATGTCGGCCGTGTGAGCGAAGACTTGATAACGTTGTGCAGTTCAAGAAAGTTATCGCCGAAACTCAGAGTGAGTTACAGAAAATTGTAAGAACAAAACGGTGTCTTGACGTATCACCTTCCGTGCTGAAACCACCCGTCAAACTTCGTTCTGCTGGGGATTTGCCACGTCGACGAAGTATCGATTTCGGCAATGTTGCTGAACAAGAAAATGTCATTCCTGCTGTTGCGTTATCGACTGTGAATGTAAGTACTTTATAAAACCTGAAATTTTACATTGTATATTTGTATAGGCGCAAAACCTTGCCAATTTTTCTTTTAGGAATATTTTGCGCTATATTTTACGCAAATTATGTATTTTCATTAGTGATTAATTCATGCATGTGTAATATTGTAAAAAGGTTTCCTTCACGAGATTGTTAGGCAAGCTGATGAAGCAAACCAATCATTCATTCACTTATATTATAGTTGGCAAGTCATAAGATGTTTCATATAAGTAATAATCAACAAATCTAAAATATGTGGTAACGTGTTTTGATACTAATATCATATATTCATATTAAATTTTAAGAATGATGAAATCTTGATTGAGGCAGAAAAGGAGCTTATAGAAGTTGCTAGGAGAAGTGAGCCATCTGTCCTAAGAGAAAGGAGCTTTGATGGTCTGGCAGACATAAGTTGGGTTACAAAAGTGCTTGAGGAGTTGTCGACCAGATGCCCAAGAGTCCATAGGATTCTATGTAGACTATTTGATAGCACCATATACAAAGAAAAGAAAAGTTATGCCATCTCCTTTGTGTACAGCATCATTATGTTTTTACGGTGCCATGAATTGAGTCGAGTTCAAAGAATCAATTCAGTTTTGCTAATTGAAGGACAAGCATCTGGAAATGTAAGATAAACTCATTCTTTCTGATTTACCTTTATGTGTGTGTTGACAATTGACATAATGTTATGGTAAGTTGTGCAATAGAAATGAATATTTAGTCTTATTTATATTCTGCATTATAGCTGGTTACACGTCTTCACAAGTATGGTATGTGCCTTGAACCATCAAGCAAATACAACATCCTGGAAGACATTGGCAAACACTTCATTGATCGTGCCGCAGAGTTGGTGAAGTCAGGACGTTCATTTGTGTATGTCTTAGATAACATTGACTGGGAGGAGAAAGCCCATGACATGAGGCAAAATGTGCAAAATAGAAGTGTTCATGCAGTTGCAACAAGTATTGTATTTAACCGTGTTTCTGATGAAGGATTGCCCGATTCTGGTCCACAGCAACGACTGAAAGATTGCAATGTTCATGAGTTGGTGAATATCAATCCACTGGAATTGGAGGCAATTCGAAACCGGTATACAATACTTGTTGCTAATATTCTGTTTGAATATTTCCCCTATTTTGGAGCGTTCAGGCAGTATCTACCTAAAGCCACAAACTGTGCATACAAGAGTGAGATGGAAACTAAGTCGGAAGTGTTGACAATGCCGGTTTTGATGAAAGACGAGAAGAAGTATGCAGAATGTGTTGATGTCTTAGATCAACTTGAAAAGTGGACTCATGACATCTATGAAGCTGCAGGGTTATGTTCACCACCTCCCAGTGATGTCCAAGATGCTACTCCCACCATTGGAACCCACTCCAGACCTGACCAACCTGGATCCCACATCCCTCCTGTAGAAACTGATACTGATCCACTGTGTGGTGTGAAAGTTCCATGCTTTGGGGATCAATTGACAAGAGTCAGATTTGCAGGGGCAAGAGACTTAAGATCAGGTTGTCACACAGCAAAGCAAAGACTTGATCATATCTATCCTTTCTCTATTGTTGACTGGCATACAAAGAGGAGCTTTTTGAAGGTATGTATGACTACAATACATGTAACCATGTAACTTCATATCTGCCATATTATGCAAATTAACCCATTTGAAATATTATATAAAATTGCCAAAAATGAGTAAACCTTTTCCATTTAGACCATATTCAAAAAACTCAGGCAGAGAGAAAGGTACACTTCGATTCTTTCGTGAGAAACTGAACCGAAGAAATGTTACTGTAGACGTGAAGCACTATGAGGATTGTGAACAACTGTTTTTCAGTATTGGTAAATGCTATGTTGTTGAAGCTCTCATGGAATTTTTTCAAATGGAAGACAGAAAGCACGATCCCACTGCAAACGTTCCTCATAGTGCAAGTGTTTCTGGTGATGAATATGGAAAGCAGTATATTTTTCAAGTTGTTGACAAGTTTCTTGATGAGTTTGTTTTCAATGAAGAAAAGAGTGATGATTCAGATAGTGTTTTGGATGGGATTTCAGATGATAGTGCATCAAACGAAGTTGCAGATGGTGTTTGGGCATATGCTGATAACTTGCTGAAGTGCTTCATGTTGTTAGCTGACTTCAAGGATGCTGTTGCTACTGGCAATGGTGAACACATTTTCATTCTGCGTAAACAATTATTAACTCATTTCTTCTCAACACCTGGCTTTAATGACTTTGCAATAGAGATGTTAATTAACATTCTTCAAACAGAAGTGTTGCTTTCAAAAGCTGAAGCTCATCGTTGCAAGTGGGCAGCAACTGTTAACTAAGGTGGTGCTGGTCATAACATAGAGATTGACCTGTTTCAGGTAAAGAATCACATAGAATCTGACTATATTTTGAAAACCGTCTATCTATATACTACATTATGTATGCGAATATTAACATCTGTATAAAGCTATACCATGCATACTAATTAACTTAATTATACTAATTGACAATACTATAATAACATAGAGATTGACCTGTTTCAGGAAAACAGAAACTGTGAAATGAAAAAGTTGATAAGGTCAATGGGTGCCAATAAACAGAGAAAGCAATAAAACGAGCAAGCAAAGCATCAGGTGGAGTGACTGAGATTGTGGAAGCATTTGAGGCACAAATGAACATTCATGCTAAGTCAACAAGCCATACTCACAAGTCTTCAACTGATGATGAGGCCATAGTTGCAAGAGACCTGAGAAGTTTAAGGCCTTTCAGACAGGAAGAGGAAAGGAAATTTGAAACATTTGATGGCATTTCTCACAATCCAACACACTTGTTAGATAAAGACAAGTTCAAGGAATGGATGGAACGACATAAGAACAATATATTAATCCACTACCCTGTAGCAGAAGAACCTCAATAGACCTTTTCAGGAATTACCAGTACATGTCACAAATGCATAGAAGTCAGACAGAAGACAATGGTGAATGTGCACATTGGCATTATTATATTATAAATTGGCATGAACCATGCAGTTGTGAAATAATTACTGAAAATGTATATTGTGTTGTCAAACTGTGCTAATATGCAGCACCATATTCTAAATGTCATTACTGTCAGATTTGATGTTTCAATCAAGTTTTGTCAAACCGGTTGGAAAATTCTTTTATAGGTATCATGGTTTTTATCTTTATTCACACACATCTTGATTTAAGCACTCTTACAATTATTAACAATTAACAAACAATATGCATGTTTGATGCAGTACTAGTTTGTTGTATTTGACTTTATCATTGTTGGTCCTGTAACCCTTCACATTTGTGCAGGACAAATTTCATTTAATTAGATTTAAGCCAGGATGCTGTAAATATTTTCTACATTTTTACCTTAATTTGCAGTCAATAAGATGTAAACACATAATACAACAAAACAATTCTATGATGTCTCTTTCATGACCAAACATTTGTCTCCAACTTAATGTTTTTACATTAATACTTGCAAGCAGCTGGAACATTTACAGTGTTTCTTACAGGAGCCACAACAAAGATGCAATGGTTTTATATAAAAGTCTTGTTCATAATCCAGTGACATTAGCATTAATTTTCTGAGGCATACATCAGAACTGGCACAAAACTCACGCATATCATCTTGCATCCCCACTTTGTTCTTTGCAATGTCTCTATTGCAGTAATACAAATAAGCTGATGCAGGCTGTCCATCCCTGCCAGCACGTCCAGTCTCTTGGAAGTATGCTTTTACAGAGCATGGAGGACCAATATGTACCACCTGGCGGATGTTAGGTATGTCCACCCCCATCCCAATAGCTACTGTTGCAAATACAACACGGACAACACTTCTTCCAGAACTAAGTTGCATCAATATTTCTTTCTTCATTTCTTCTGTTTGGGGAGCATGGAATTGTGCAAACAACCTGTTTGCTGGTCTATGTGAACCAGTAGGATAATATTGCTCACTGCCAAGAACATGTTCAAACAGTTTGTATGCAAAACCACACAAGCGCAATGGAACATATACAATTGTTAAAGGAAATTCAATCTTTTTCTTTAACAGGGCGGTAGCAATTGGCATTAAAATTAAGTGGATAGTATCAACATCTTTCCCACTTTGAAATATTTTTTGATAAAATATTTCTTCTGTCAGGGTTGCCAATTATACACTTCACCTTTTTCAACCCCAATGAGTCCCGGATATATTTTATATCAGTTTGACTTGCAGTTGCTGTCATTGCAAGAACTGGGACGTCTGAAAAAAGGGCACAAAGCACTCCCAACTTGCTGTAATCCTTTCTAAAGTCGTTTCCCCTAAAAATATTCAAATTGAAAAATATTAGAATTTTAGTCAATGCAATATTCAAATTGATAAATCCATCCTAAAATATTAAGTTTGTGTTATAGCCCAGTGGTAATAGAACCAAGTAATAAGAGTTGGAATTTTTTAGAGTTCCTTATAGTTACCATACAAAATACGTTGTTTCAAAGTTATATTTATACATACCAGTCAATAATGCAATGGACTTCGTCCACAACAATCGCACGAACATTTTCCTGATATTTGTCGCTTAACAACAAATCACGACCGTACTTGCTGGATATTAATGCTTCTGGATGTGCAAAAACAATATTATAACAGCCATCGCGTAACATTTGTTCTTCACAAAAGCAGAAATTAATCTCAATGTTTCCCATTTCATCAGAATCGTCTTCTTCCCCTCGTTGACTTCGTTCATCCTTCGACTCTTTCACCGTTAAGACAGACGCCCGGATGCCACTCTTATTTAGACGGGATATTTGATCAGAGATCAAAGAATTTAGAGGAGAGACAACGACTACAATCGAGTCAACTACAGCCGCAGTCAAACCCCTTGACCTCCAACCACAAATTAAATCGCCACGCAACTTGATCTTGGCATACAACAGCATTGGCAACAGATGGAAAACTAGGGACTTGCCGTATCCCGTCGGCAAAACACACATAACATCATTATGAAGATAAACACTTTCAAGACATATGACTTGCCTTGGTTTAAAATTTTTTTCTTCGTATAAACTGTTCAAAACGGCAAACTCCAAGCAAGATAAAAAAGCAAGATGGTCCAACATGGCAAAATCAAATCCGGATGTGGAAGCATGTAATATGATACTCTAATCCACACTCCCTGAGGCAACAAATTGTTCGCTAAACACGTGACCAGCTTCTGCCAGGGTCTTTGCCGCAGCGTGGGCCGTGGAGCGTAGGTAAAAGACCCTGGGTACGAGGTTGGTGCGTAGTCAGTTTTTTACTCTCTACAGTTAGCAAATTTTTCTCTGGATATCTTGGTTAAACAGCTGTTTAAATTATGAGTGGGTCATGAAAACTTTAAGATTCTAGTGCAAGAATAGTGCGCATGAAGCATATGAATAAGGAGGAATTTCGTTTTGAATTAATCGCCATATTTGTTTACATTTTTTAGGCAAAGCCAACCAGAATGCCTAAATTTTAAATACTTCATGTAAATGGTATATATTGTACTTTTTATCAAAATTTATGCATTCTGATTGCGTTACTGTAAATGTAAACAAACTTGTTGATTGAACTAAAACGAAATTCCCCCTTGCTATTCTCCAGTTCTTTTGTAGTTAGTACTTTATTACATCGTAAAACATGTAGACGGGCTGGTATCTCGCCTTAAGTGGAAAGTCGTTTAAACAGTCACGCAATGGCGCTGCCAAGAAAATGAACGTAAAGAAAGGCCAAGATCCCAAGGCAGAGGAAACGAACATACATGATAAAGTTCTTTATCTCGCCAGTTGCCAGTTTACCAAATTTGTCCGTATTTAAAGTTTTATGTTAGCGAATTTTTAAATTGCAGGAAAATAAGTCTTTAAATAAACTTCTTTTGTCATCAATAATCACTTGACCACGCATTTGTTTATGAAAAAGTAATATGCCCATCATCACTCGGCTCAAAGAAAAAGAAAAAAAACCGACATCACCTGAGATATTCAGTCAAGAGCGGAGGTGTTGTCAGTTGAATCAAGAAAAGCAAGTCTTCAGTAAAAGATCTGGTTGTCTACAGGTATGTTACTGCACCTATAAGGTTGCAAGGATGCTGCAAAATTTTCGACTTTTGCTACCGTCTTCTCATACTTTTCCTTTTCACTGGAGGAAACGCAGAAAACTATACCCTCAAAAAAACCGGCTCGTATTACAAAAGCCGATATAGGCGATATTGACATGAACCAATTTTCAGTTGCTCATGCACGCAAGATAAAGCAATTTAATTCTTCAAACACGTTTTTCCCTTCCCCAAGAAAATAAGTGTTAATTCAGTCTTACGATGAAATCAATAGTCACCTCCTAATTTGTACCAAAACTGTATCGAAACACGGAAAATATTTTTCATTTCTTAAATGATGCACACAAAATAAAAATAACGTTCCACAAACACCTGCTAAGTATAGAAGAAATGGAAACGACGTAGCTACTTGATAAGAAGTAGAAGATATAGAATATTACGTTGTTATGCGGAAATATGGAATATCTTTCAAGTGTTGAAGAGAATATTGTTTTGAGTTAGTAAGAACACAACATCTCACGCTGATGTAAACTGTAAATTCTTTTCTCTGGAATTTCCGAAGCTGATTTATTGGCCCGTGAAAGTTTACATATCTCAAAGCTTAATCCTATATAATTATATATACTAAATTCCAACATCAGGTTAACTCCACTTTACCTAGCTGTGGTAAGTTTGTTTTCAAGCAGGTAAGTAACTATAGCTATATATCTACTAATATATATTTCGGACAGTTTTTTATTATTTTCCTTTATTCCTATATTTGATTATTGACGCCGAGCCGGCGCGAGGGTACTAATTCCGCCCGGAGATTAGGAATTACACTCGGGTATTGTGACAGAACATAGCGAAATCCAAAGTTGCCAAATTCTGTGTCATGGACCGTGGACGTTCAATCATGGCACTTGTGCGCACGCGCAAAATTTGAGCGAGTAAGGACCGGTGATTAGCAACTTGCTGATTGACTAAGACAATATGTTTGTATTTCAATGAAAAACGTCAGCAATTTAACTGTCATTTAACTATCTTTTCAGAAAATGTCTCGTAAACACAATATGAAATGCAGATCAAATAAATTTAAAACAAATAAATTAAAATATGTAACGAAAACGAAAAAAAACGAAACAAATAAATTAAAATATGATCAGAACTGGAAAAGTTAGGCGGTAAAAGTTAAGCGGTGAACAACTCGTACTTTATAATCCTTGAAATGGCAGGTGTCGACTTTGTTTATTTCGTGTTTACAGTAAGAATGCATTTTATGAGCTTGGTATGTCGTTTTCCGAAGACATAACCGACTATTAAAGGCTTTACATCATCGTTTTAACTTCAAAAAAGAGTTCTTGAAGGTGCAATTCTGAGATTTGAGTATAATAAATATCACTTTGAAGCTTTTATAGAGTCGACTGCAATCACTGCATGATTTAAATAATCGGAAAACAATACTCGACGTTTAGTGTTTGGGGATTTAAATTATTTTTGCTGTTTTGAAAGTTTAGCTATAGTGAAGTAATAACTAAGTCTATATGACTATAACTGCATGCAACGTAATGCAGCACGTGTAAAAGGTGATTTCGTTTCACCTTTACGACTGTGTTTGTTTCCGAAGAATGTGAAACATCAACTATTATATCGAGGTTTTGCTAGCTCAGAAAAATTTGCTTCGTTTGAAATGGTGAGGGATTGCTGCATGCATGTATTTCTAGGAACCGTTTCTTAAAAGATAGTATGATATATGGTATTTTTGTTGAACAAAACCCACTACCCGCCATGCAAAAACTCTCTTTCCTAATCCATGTGATGATTTTGTTAATGCTAACTGAGCATTTTTTCCCTAATCTTAAAAGTTACATAATTATCATTCCACAGCATAATGTACGTAAACAGTCAAGTAAAAGAATTTATACATTGATTTAATAAGGAAGCTAAACATATCTTTAGAGCAGCTGACAAACATATTAATATACGAATAAATTATACAACTATCTACAGGATATCATTTTTGAGGCGAGCTTGGATAGAATTATAGTTAAACAGAAGAACGGAATTGTACCTTGCATCTTAAGAAATGGCTTAATTAGGTTTAGAAAATTTATCGAAAATAAGGGCGCTTTCTCAAGTAATAAATTGAATAAGAATTTAAATTAATTTGTCCGTTAGAGATGTTTGTCAATAGCTCTCAATTCAATTCACTGTAGAGCGCGAGAGTGAGAGAAAGCAGTAGCGTAGCCAGCCTGTCGATTTGTCCCGCTATGCTAATATTTTAATGTTTACTGATTGTGAAAACAATAAATTACGGAAGATAGTTATGAATAGTTATAATAACTCGAAATTTACATAGTGTGACAAAATCGTCAGGCTGGCTACGCCACTGAGGGAAGTTGGCTTTTTTGGATACTTGTGTTCATGGAAATATCGAAGGGCAGTTAGAAACTGATGTTTACCGTAAACCTACACATACAGGCAAATACCTATATTTTTACTCACACCATCCGAAAATCATAAAAAGACTGTTAAGAAAACTTTGTTTCAAAGAGCTGAATCGTTAACATCCAATCACGTTCCTAGGGACAACGAGTGTGATTATGTTCTCAGTGTACTGAGAGAGAACAATTATCCACGAAACTTTTAAAATGATTGTCTAAAATCCCCTGTCACGATTAAATGCAATTCCTCAGAGGGTGATTCTTCAAAAACAGGTGTTGCTATAGTTCAATACATTCAGGGAATTGCAGAACCAATCAGGAGGATCCTGCATGCATGAGTAATTATGGTTTAAAAGTTGCCTTAAAACCCTTTCAGACACTGGGACATATTTTCATGAAACCCAAGGATCGCGTAGCGACTAAACAGAAAACTCATGCTGTATATTCTATACCATGTGGTGATTGCAAAAAAGAATATCTAGGTGAAACAAAACGCCAATTCGGCACACGTTTAAAAGAACCTCAAAAGGCCGTTTGGAACTTAGACCGTTCAAAATCAGCCTTGGCAGAACACGTATGTCAAACTAACCATAACATTGCGTAGAATGATTCAAAAGTCATTACCACTAATGATCGTCATGGACAAAGGCGTTGTTTGGAAGCCTGCCATATTAATGCGAGTCCTTGTACCCTAAATAGGGATGACGGAAGCTTTATTTTGCCAAAAGAATATTTACATCTGATTGATAGATGACATAACTTTTGAGAGTATATACTGAGGAACTGTGTTTCAACATCAGTTCACCCCTGATGAACACACTAAACCGGAGTGTCGAAACGTTGGGTCGTGAAAGTTAATCTTTATGTTGATTACTTTCATTTATTAAAACCAGAGTAGCGATAATTACGATGGATGGATTTTATACCTGGCTGCCGTGAACTCATTAACTTCAATTTGCTCTCAAGATGTGTTAGGTTAAATAAATCGTTATTTTTTATTGAACGCTCCAAATATAATATTTTTTTGTGAGTTTTTCATCATTTTTCATCATTTTCATCATTCCGAGTCAGGTTTCTTTGCTTTAACGTCAGAACGGCAAGATGATTCAGTTGTTGAATTTGCAGCCATGCATTTAGGAAACAAAAAAATCTTTCTTTGAGACAAGTCAGAGAACACGTGTTGAACAGTAAATAAGTTGCGAAATTTATGAACGGAATGTAATTTATGCCTGCATTTGGGCATGCCCAGAACTGAGACACTCATATATTTCGCAAGTCATGAATTCCGCGTGACACCGGGTACTAATTTCACCGAGGATTTGGAGTGCCACCCGAGCCGATTGTTACGGAACAATCCCACATTCTGTTCTTTCTTGGATGGTAGTGGGCGGTTGGCTTCAATATATATAATGGTTGGAACTTATAAAACATAAAAAAATGCTTAAGAAACGTTGGCATATTCGCAATACTCGTGACATAACGAATTTCAACAATGTTGTCGTGCTTATATCAGTCTAGTCTCCTATCCAATTTTTTAATACCCTTGCTAACACCGACACTCTTTATAATTTTTTAATAGACTGCACATTTTTACAAACATTGTAAACAGAATTTTAACTTATTTTTATAGAATGGGGACTAAACGAAGCCAACGTAAACCAATCATATTTGGCAACTGTAAAGAAGTTTTGCAGACGGTTGTAATGATTTATTTTGCTGCAAACCTCGTTTTCGGGGAAGAAGAAGAGTCTGAATTTTGTAATAGAGGATGGTCTGAATTTGTTCAAGACAGAAAACAATGGGAAAGAGAATGTTTAAATGACGATGATATCAAAATATCACAGTGTTGTAACGAGACATTTGATTACCTTGATGAAAGATTTAATGACTACATAAAGTTGTGTCCCATTGTGGGTAAGTTTTAATGATCGTACTTTGCCGGCTCTATTATTTTGCTCTAGTCTTATGCATGGCGTTCAGGAGATGTTTTGTAATTCGATAAAAATTAATTACCTGTACATAATGCCACACGTGTCTTGTTTTTCAATTGCGATTTCTGGCAATGCCTTGTAGAAAATCTTTTTGACGAATATTTTATCCCATGGTTACGTAAATAAATTTTAAATCAAGTACAGTCGTGTAGAATCTGTATTAATCATTGCAATTTTTCAAATTTGTCCATATTCGTGTTGCTTTCATTATGCCACTAGTGCAGTTATCGAACAGTGCGTGGGATATGACGAGACGCATTATAAAGCATAAAATACGGCCCAATTGGAGTTGTGTGTGATTTTTTGACCTCTGTATCATGGGAATAATGTTTTTTGCCTAATTGTCGTGAATATGTTTGTTTTTGTGGAAATAATTGTGTGAGAAATTTAATTAAGAACGGCAGAAATTTAGATCTAATTTATCAAATTGGTATAATGTCTCTAATTAAAAATCAACTATAAATGATATTAGTTAACTATCACTAGTTATCACTAGTTAACATTTAACTATTTAGTATACAGCTGAGGAATAATCTACTGTTGTTCTCACTAACCATGCATAGTTAAATTTAAACGAGCTGCATGGGATGCAGGCAGCCGCCACGTCTCTTTACACATGTACAATTTATAAATACACTCCGCATATTTCCTTTAAAGTGCATTCAAGTCATTTTAAAAAACGAGATAAATTTGGCATTCTCTTCTTTCAGAGGGCAAATGCGCATGTCATTTTCAAGAGCAAGGAATAGACCGTTTTACTTACGGTAACTTGTCAGATCCAGTATTTTGGATGATGCCAAATATTTCATGTCGACACAAGTTTCAACTCCGTCGTCTAAAAGTGGAGCCAGACGTAAGATCACCGCACAGTTTTCCTGTTGGTTTTAATAAAATCAAGAATATATTTCAACTGTATGGAGGGCGGGAGAAATCGTGTGATATCATGGTTTATGTTCGCTCCTGTAAGGACAAAGGCAAAGTTAAGTATTTTTTTGAATAAAAATTTTCAAGAACTCTCTCGTACTTCCTTCTCAACTACAAACAAAACAGTTTCATGAAGTTAAGCATTCAAGTCTTATATACATGGCAATCACATTTTCCTTTCCAGGCTTTTCGCAGACATTTCCTGTACAACCATATTGTTTGTTTCAAATTGAAGAATATCGAAACTCATTTTCATTATGAATTATTCGATTTGAATTATTATTATTTTATTAACATGTATTTTATTAACAGAAATGGAAAAAACAACCCTGGAAAATACCAGAAAAAGAGGTAGGATTACAATCACTTTTCTCAGTAATGTTTTAATCAAGGGGAAATAAAATTATGCATGCGCACATAAGCGTACGCGAGCTTCAATTTCTGGGGGGGTGATTACTTGCTCCCAAAAAATTTTTAAAAACTTCGCCTTGAACTAGTAATAAATAATTAGGTTTAAACTGTTGGTTTCGAAACGGTAAGTCGGTAAAACGTAACAGGATGTTTTTCTTTATTTCGTGATGCGAAACAAACAAGTTTGTTATTTTCCGCTGCTGGCTAACTGTTTCAGTGGCGGATCTAGGGGTGTGCAGAATAATCTTAAATTCAAAACACCTTAATAACAATGCTATTAATTATAGATTTGAAAAGAATATTTTTACATTAAAATCTACCAATTCGCTTCCGATTTTAAGCAGTAGTAATATATTCTGCACAACCCTAGGTCCGCCACTGAACTGTTTCCACAAATGCGTAAGTTGGTTAAACATCCCACAGCTAGGCGCGTTTTAGCAAATAATGCGCAAATTGCAGCAACGACGCTATATCCGTTGCGCAAGCGACAGGTTCTAGTTATTTCATTCCGGTGTTGTTGCGTGTACATACTAGCTAAATCCTCAGTTTAGTTCAGTTGTTAATGTGTACGCTTATAATTGTGAGTAAGCAACTTTGTATTGGAAACCTTATTGTACTTGCTAAATCTATCTATGTGGGAACTCATTCTATATTGGCTTAAAACGTAGACTAAAGTAAGTTCACAAATATTAGTTTGGTCAACCGCAATCGTGGTAGCTATTCATTTCGGCCAAACGCCAGCGATATACATATTTCACTCGCAATTGGCATATAATCAATTGGTCTATGCATGATTATTTATTTTCAGTCTGCGCAACAGAACTTATTCGGTCTATAAGTCAAAATGCTAAAACATCACTAAATTGTATCATCAAGCTCGAATCGCGTTGCTAAAGGCAGTAAATATTGCATGATTCTAGTTCTACTGCATGTTATCAACTTTTAATAAGTACATGTTAATTGTTGTTAATCGTTCCATGTCATGGTTAAATGCTATTGTTATATTATTCGCTAATGTACACTCGTACTATATGTAGTTAGTTTCTATTCAATTGTATACAGGGTGAGTAAAAAACCCTGATAGATGTGCCACTCCACATTATGATCCAAACCCACGACACGATTCGCCCCGAATGTTTCGTTTAGGCGATATATCTGACTTCCAAAAGGCGATGTGCAAGACCGACGTCTTGTGCCCACTACAGGCCCCGAAGCATTCCCTCCCAATACTGGTTATTGAAATGGTTTCCCAGTTGTGGAAAGGCAAAGTCATTTTGCATACGACGATAGGCGCGACCATCCACATTTGCATAAAAAAATAAGGTCAATGTCACTTGCCCGTTCATTTCAAATCCCGCTTCGTCTCCAATAAAAAATCGCTGCAAAAAATTTTCGTTTTGGCAGCATTCGTTAAACCACTCGGAAAAGCGCAGGTGACGTGGCTAGTCGTTTTCCAATAACTCGTGTCGTACATGCATGCGGCGTACATACATCCAGCACAAGTCCAGTCTTGTTATCCTGTTGAATGTTGTTTGCGAAACTGCGATGGGATTCCAACGAGAACTCACATGTGGGTTTTGCTCTAGCAGCTTTGTTACTGCCGCTATGTTTTTCTCACTTCTTTCTGTTCGTCTCCTGTGAATTGCCCTTGTTTCTGTTAAGGCTTGTTCCCGTGTTTTGATATTTTCTCCCTTTATCCAAAATTGTGTTTCGTGAAGGAGGATTCCGTTCGGAAAATCTTATTCTGAATGCGTTTTGCACTTCTCTTTATACATTTTGTGTGACGATAAAATTTGTTATAACAAATACTCGTTGTTCTGTTTTCAGTTGCACCATTTTGTATTTGATGAAGTGGCACAACTGATTAATAAAAGGTCGTAGAGTTCCATGCAGGCAAATTTCTACAGTTTTATTAATTCTCGCACGATTAGAATGCATATTAATTCCTTAGATTAATTAATGGCTCACTTATTTGATATGCTTCGTATACCCATGAGATATTTTAGGCAACGTCTGTCACATTACAGCCGGTATGGGGCTAATTTGAATTTCAATTGTGTCAGTTTTTTCTTACTCACCCTGTACCAATCATCTCCAGAATGCCATGCATAGGACAAGAGCAAAATAATTAAAGCAAAGTACGATCATTAAAACTTACCCACAATGGGACACAACTTTATGCAAATAGTCGTTAAAATACTTGCATGCAGTATTCTGCATGTCTGTACAGAAATACAATTAGACCGGTCTGGCCGTTTTTACCATATAAAAGAAAGCGCTCAACTTCAGCTGTAGCTTGCCAACCACAATGATGGCCGTGTTATATATAACTTGATAGTTGAGCCAAAATAATATCAACTTCATTGACACATGCAATGTTCCAGTTTAAATTGATTTCACATTGCCTCACAGAGCTGATGACATAATATCGGGCGATTCATAGAGTGACACGCGCTTTTAATCGCCTACCTGAACTGAACTATCGTGATTAGCTTGATCGTGTTCCGACTGACGATTAAGACTGACAGATATGTCTATAATTATGCTTTTCTTGCTTGTTGAAACAATTAATAATTTAGGGATGAAAACCTGATAATTTCTGAAAATGAACAGCGTTTTGGGTGATATGAGTTTTTAGTTTTTGTCGACCTGATATTATAAATAGTAATTGCATGCAGAGAAAAAATCAACACATGAAATAAAGAAAATAGCTACAAAATATCTTCCTTTAAATTTAAACACGGTTAAGCACTTCCTATACCTGGACATCAATGAACGAGTAAATTGCATTTACTTCAAGGTTGCAAAAAAGATATCCTTGTTCTCTGGGACAATTCCAATCTCGTTCCCCATGTCAAAATCCTGAAGAGGTTTATTAAAAATGAAAAACTAGGAGTGGAGGAAGAAAGCACCCATCTGGGTTTCATCAGCTTCACAAACAGCAGAGCAAGAGAATTATTGAAAGTTGGAGAAATTAGGAATAAAACACAGTTGTTAACGTGGCTGGATAGTATTCATGTTTACAACGATTCAAGTAGCTATAGCAATGCGACCAGAAAAAGTGTTTGTGATCTTTTGAACAGTGTAAGTGTAACAAAATGTCGCTGGCTCCCACATGCACGCCCTAATTAATCCAAAAAGAAAAAAATTACCATTGCTTTCTGACAAGTTTAATGATCACGAAACAAACAAATTATTAAGAGCTCTTTCCCAATAACTGCCAAAAGATTAAATAACTTTTCTGCTTCCAATTATTATGCATTGCTAATGCAATCTCTATATAATGCAATCTCTTATCTATATTATTGTGCATTACTAATGCAATCTCTATATAATGCAATCTCTTATCTATATTATTATGCATTACTAATGCAATCTCGATTGTGATTGCAATTGGCTAAAAACCTTCAGATAATTCTCAATGTCTTGCCACCTACAAGACTTATCCGTAGGTGACGTAATTTATTGCGCTAGTTTGTTGTCAATAATGGCGCAGGCTTTTCCTCTAAAAATGAAATACATAATAAAAAAATCATTGAATTCGGTTTTCGCATGATATCGAGAATTATCAAGCCTCAGTTTGCGTTATCTACCTCAGCTTCGCTTCGGCGAATAACGCAAACTTCGGCTTGATAATCCTCGATATCACACTGAACCTCATCCAAATAATTGTTAAATATTCGTATAAGAGCGTTGGGATATTATGCGACTTCGATCAGGAAAAGGCGAAAAAAAATCAAATAGGCTGTAGAAATTTGTCATTTCAGAGTCTGATAATACATATTTCAAAGTTGCTGCTATGTTTTTTAAAGGTATTAAACGACACAAGTCCTACGAATTTCCGTCCTGATGTTGAAGACGTTATTTTGTTGCTATTGCTAAGCAACGGAACACACGATATTTTAAAAGATCAAGAAAGGCTCCTAAATGAATGTGTAAATGTTAAAAAGAATGTCATAATTATTGGTTTAACAGGCGGCTTTGCAGGAAAGTTCAACTTTGCAGGCTTTAAACTTCGTGTCAAACGATGGCCAGCACCAGAGCGAGTGTTTGAAGGAAAATTAGCCACGTTGGAAAAAGTTTTGAATGAAACGATCGATGCTTCCTGCATGTCATTCGGTAAGTTTTGGTGAAGATTTTTTGTATATATATTTTTTGTATATATATAGAATTTTTTAATCCCCGAGAGCGCGTACTATTCCTGGTTGGTGGATCAAAGATTATATAATGATAAACTTTATTAACCTTTTTTCTTCGTTGTTCACACTTTCTCTTTGCTTCGGTTTCGTCGAGGATTTCCGACATTTTACGAGTACCCTGTAATTTTACTATGTTAAATTTCCCTCAATCTAGGTAAATGCAAATGCAAATATGGTAGAAATTATGAATTTACCACATATACTAAGCCTGGAGCAGATAGTGGATTCGTGAAATGGAAAATACCGGAAGTCACATGTTCTGATTATGAAAGAGGTCAGGTTGATCCACCTTATGACGCGTCTCCTGCAAATTTGCAAC